GCCTTCTGAGATAGGGATGGTAGAAGAAACCAAGATGGGGTCCACTCAGCTGGTGGAAGAACTCAGCAAGGTTGGTTGGGCTATGAGTTTGAGGAGCCTGTGGCTGTCAAGACTAGCAATCTCAGGAGGAATGACAGGACACTGGATAGGAGACAAGATCAGGGGCTGGCCTGGGCTGGCCTGGGCTGGCCTGAGAGGTGTGGGAACCAGAGGAAACCTGGGTAGAAATGGCAGGCATTGTGGGGGAAGGTTTTGGGGATGGGAACAGGAAGAAACAAGAATGGAGGGAAGGCATGATAAGGGCAGAGTCTGGTGGGGTCAGGAGAGACAGGAGGAGGGTGGTGCTGGGAGGGATGGCTGAAAGGTGATGGGCCGGTGGGCAGTGCTTTGTGACTAGAGGGAATGTTTTCTCCCTGGTTGCTGAAGAGGGCCTGGCAGCAGTTGGCAGAGCTCCAGAAGTTGGGTGATAAATGAACATTGCACTCTGTCAGGCAGCTTGCACATGGAAATGGGCAGAATGTGACAGACACATTGCTGGGAACACTTCACCCTGTTGGGCTTCCATCTCCACATTGCTGCATGGGGTGGAACCTCCCTGGAACTGGACAAACTCAGACATCACCTGTCAGGTACATCGTACACGTCTGTGGAGACCACCAGATTTCTTCCCAGCCTTCCCTTCCACTGGTTTGTGAGCCACTTTCTCAGGAAGGAAATTCCCAGATGGCCTGGCTAACTGGAAAGACAGCCTAGCCCAGGTCAGAGGGTTGACACCAAATCATTGTTCACTGGTTACAGGAAGTCAGTCTTCTCCAACAGCAAGGGAACAGGAAGGAAGTGAAGATGCAGGGAGACAGGAACCCTGAGAGGCCTGTGAACATGTCCACACCTCATACCATGGAGGCTAGCTAGCCTCCCCGATCCCCTTCTATGGCTAGGAGGCCCCTGGACTCACTGGGCCACCAGTGTTAGGTGCCCACAGTCTCAACAGGTGGAACTGCGCTGTAGGGTGCCCCAAGGGGAACTGACTGGACTTAAGGTCCCATGGCCAGAGCCCTACAGCCAAGCACAGGGACTGGCTGTGGTTCTGGAGCCTCGCCTGCTGCTCCCAGCTGTCATTAGGCCATACCCAGCTGTTCCTCCCCAAGACGCAGCCTACACCTTAAGGTGGGAGGGAACACTCTCAGGGTGGCCACAGGGACATTCCCAGGGCAGAGAAGATGGGACGTAGGCTCTGGTGACACACTCTGTCAGACCTACGCCCCTAACGTGGATGTCGCAGCCCACATAGCCACTCTACTCTTGGGATCTCCCAGTTTTGCCTGATAGGAGGAGGCCCCTCCTGTGAGCAACATTGTAGCAAGTAGCAAAGAATACCACTTTCAGAAGACAAATGAAAGCAAGCATGACTCTGGCTTTTTTTTTTTTTTTTTTCCTCATCTGAAATAAAAGTTCTGGTGAGTGAGAACATTTTGAACAGCAGTTACCCCTAGCTTCTGGAAGAAGCTTATCAGCTGTTCGGCACCCGCAAACTGGCAAGAAACACTCCCCTCTGCAATACATCCAGGCTGTATAAATAGTGCTGTGCTGCTCTCAGACTTAGGGGCCGGGCCATGGCAGGTAGCATGTGAACAGAGTGAATTCTACTGTTCCACATGATGCTTTCCCTGGAACCCAGATGCTCACCCAGCACAGGCTCTGAGCCCTACCTCCTGCTCCACTTCTCACTGCAGGCCATTAACAGTCTGGGCAGCTGCTGTGCCCACCAGGCTGCATGGGGGCACAGCGGGGCAAGTAGCCCTGCCAGGAACAGCACTCTGTAGCCAAGGAGTAGCTCCTGCCTGTCTGTTCTTGTGGCCTCCAACAGGTCACATGCACACACATCTGGAAATGCACGTGTGGGAGGCTTCCGACCCCCTACCCCAGCTCTAATGTTTTCAATTCTAAGCCTGCCCTGTGCCACTGCTGTGCCTTCAAAGAGCCTTGTGTGTCCCCGGGCCTGCAGTGAAAGCAGCCAGCATCTCTATGGCAGAGGCTCAGCGAGGTCCAACTATTTTGTCCTTAGTTCTACAGACAAACGTCTGTTCAGTTCATTTCCTCAAGGGAAAAGGGAACGCAGGACTGAACTAAACTGCTCTGGGTCTTAGGACTTGAGCTGCCTGTACCCAACCTGCAGGCCTTACTCAGGGGCTGGATGCTCTGCGGGACAGACGAAGAGGCCCCAAGCACAGAGCAGAGGATGTGAGCACACTTGATCTGGAGGGCGGACTGTCCAAGTGCCGCCTCCCCTCTCGAAACCAGCTGTAAACACAGATAGGGAGGGGCCTCCATGCCTGCCAAGGGAGGCAGCGACTTTGTGAGTAATTGACTCAAGGAAAACAAGTGCAGCAGGAGTGCGTGCGGGGCTCACGCGCATCGCTGGCTGAGTGGCTGGGATTCCCGAGACACAGGCCCTGGCACTGCCATGCTGCCTGCTGCTGGCCTCTGGAGCCCACAGTACAAAGGAAGGAGGGACTTGTGATAAAGGTAGGAGCCTGATGGCTGTCACTCACTGCTGCTGGCTGAGTGGGGCTGAAGATAAGGAGGCCAGGGAGGGCAACCCCATGGGAGAACTGATGACCTGCCACCAGTGAGAGTCTCACAGACATGGAGGGACAGAACAGAACCTGAGTTCTGGGACAGGTCTACTTACTGCAAGAGTGCTGTAGATGCAGGATCTGAGTGAACTGGAGGGCACAGTCCCTGTCATCAGTGTTAGGGAAACCGCTCTCATCAGGGGACCTCTCATAGCCTCTGTCCCATGCTGAAGGAGGGTTGAAAGGGGACTAGGTGGAAAACATTCATAAAACCTGGGACCATAATGCTACATAAGACCAGATCATCAGGAACATGGCTATGTGCTGGTGACCAGGAGAGGAAAAGAACTGTTGGCCTGAGGACTATGGAGCTGTGGTCTGGTGGATGAGGTTCCAATAATGTGTGCTCTTGTTCAGCCACACATGGCCACCAAAGCCAGGCAGCCTGGGAGACCCAGTGTACCTGGAGACTGGGCCTGCTGTGCTGAGTGTTCAGGGGAGGCACCAAGGAACAGAAGGAATAGCAAAGCAGACCCTGAAAAAGTGACCAGAAATAACAGAGACACCGCAAAGAGGCACCTTCAAGAGGGGGCCTGGAGGGTAGTGCTGGTGTTACCTCCCCCCCGTCCCCCTGCCCCGTGGTCAGTTTCTAGCTCCCTACCCCCAAGAAGAGGCAGGCAGGGGTCACCAAGTGAAACCCATGTCTGGTGAAGATGCAGCAAGCATTTGTCCTTGAAGGAGGGCAGGGTCACTTAGCACTTGTCAGGGCCCTACTCCATGGCCTTGCTTTTTGTCCATCTACTGTCCTAGCTGTTGGGAGCACAAGCTAGGACTGCAGTCCTTACTTGGTGGCTTCCCATGTGCATCTGAATGAGCGTTCAGCATCACCCTGAGTTGAACCCTGCATGCCTGACCTGGGGAGGAGGAGGGCACAAGCTGATGTCCAGAAATGCGCAGTGCCAACTGGCATCAGAATGATGGCTGCCACTGGAACAGATTATAGTGTGGGCTTCTCCGTTTTCCTCCTGAAGCCTCCTGTCCCACCCAGCCCTTGCTGCCAGCCTATGCATCTGTAGTGTCCCTCATGGTGGCAGGAGGACCCTCTACTCACTGTGGTGACATTAAACACTCCTATAGGCTATGGGGAGCAAGTGGGTATTAGCCCTTGGGTTATACAGCTTCCTCCCAGTGGGGACCCAAGGCAGGTGGGATCAATGCCAACACCAGCAGCCTGGCTTTGGCCCCGCCACTCTGGGAAACGGGAATGTTGGCTTCCAGTGTGTCTGCTCAGATGTGCTCTCTGTTGTGATTGTGTGGCAGGTCTGGTTGGGCCGAGGGGCAGTCTGAATGTAAAGTTTCCCCCTAAAGAACTGGGTGTCCCTGAAGAACAAGTGAAGAGGAATACCCCCCCTTAGGTCCACTTGCCAAACTCTTGTTCAGTTACAGCAAGATTAACTGGACAGACTGCAACATAGGCTCAGTGCTGTGCTGCCCCATAGGTCAGTGACCCTGGGGGAGGAAAAGGAATGCCTGGGCTCACCCAGGCCTCCCACGTCTCCCAGCATTGGTGGATTTGGGTGCCCACAAACCCAGCAAGCTTCAAGAGTAACTACAAAGGGCCAGCCCGTCTGAGGGAAATTATGTGGGCACAATGGAGCGTCCATGCTCAGCCCTCAGGCTTCATCAGCCTCAGAGGCGCCTGGGCCTCCTGTGGCTACATACCTCCAGGGTAGTGGCTCTTCCCGGCCCTGCTCATAGGGTACAGTGTGGGGGCTACAGGTGTCCAACCTTCATATCTCACATTTGCTCACGTGTGTGCTTGTGCTGGGGCACAGCCAGCTACAGTGTGCCATACATGCATCCTGCAGCCCATCGCCCCCCCCCCCCCCCCCCCCCCCCCCCCCCCCCCCCCCCCCCCCCCCCCCGGGCACCAGGCAGACATTTGGGCTGCATGACAGGCTATGCTTATGTCTTCTACACAAGAGAGAGTGGATGAGAATTGCCATCAAGTGGGGATGGTGGCTGGGGCAGGCCAGCACTGCTAAGTGGTTTGAGGTTATGTGGACTCTGTCCCCCAAAGAGCCCCAACCAGTGCCAAAGGCAGCAGTGTCTCTGATGGTGGTGAGGAGCCCAAGGCATAGCACGTGCGGTCGTGGCACAGATGGGCACGTATAACATACTCCAGAAGGTTTCTGCTGAAGAAGCTGGTGGGTCACCTGGGACTTTGATTTCCTTCAGAAACTGAGTCCAGGAGTCTCACCATGGCTATGGATGTCCCTCAAGTTTCAGAAGCCTGGCTCCGGCAGTCTGGCCTGGAGCCTCCTGCTTGCAGACACACACATGAGCTTGCAGGCATGCACACACACAACCACACACACCCACATAGACAGGAGTGTGCTTCCTGAAGCCTGGTGACTAACTCTGTCCCTTCTCTCTCAGCAGAGCTGCGAAGCTGGGGTGAGCTGCCATGTGGAGCTGTGGCCCACTCAACAGCACAGTGTGGGGTGAGGAGCCGCTATGCCGCAACCTGCGCCTGGGGCTGTGGGTCCTCTCGCTGCTCTACCTGGGGGCAGGTGTCCCTGTGGGCTTAGGCTACAATGCCCTGTTGGTGCTGGCCAACCTGACCAGTAAGAACAGCATGACCATGCCAGATGTGTACTTCGTGAACATGGCTGTGGCGGGGTTGGTGCTCACGGCACTGGCACCTGCATACCTGCTGGGTCCTGCCCACTCCAGGTGGGCCCTGTGGAGCCTCAGCAGTGAGGCCCATGTGACACTGCTCATCTTATTCAATGTGGCTTCCCTGGTGACCATGTACTCCACTGCACTGCTGAGCCTCGATTACTATATCGAGCGTGCCCTGCCACGCACCTATATGGCCAGTGTGTATAACACCCGGCATGTGTGCGGCTTCGTCTGGGGAGGAGCGGTGCTCACCAGTTTCTCCTCCCTGCTCTTCTACATCTGCAGCCATGTGTCTTCTCGCATCGCTGAGTGTGCCCGGATGCAGAACACAGAGGCTGCTGACGCTATCCTCGTGCTCATCGGCTATGTGGTGCCAGGTCTGGCTGTGTTGTATGCGCTGGTGCTCATCTCAAGGATTGGGAAGGAAGACACGCCCCTGGACCAGGACACTAGCAGGCTGGACCCCTCAGTGCATAGGCTGCTGGTGGCCACTGTGTGCACACAGTTTGGGCTCTGGACACCTTACTACCTGAGCCTGGGGCACACAGTGCTGGCCTCACGGGGGAGGACCGGAGAGGGGCATTATCTGGGCATCCTACAGGTTGCTAAGGACTTGGCCAAGTTCTTGGCCTTCTCAAGCAGCTCCGTGACACCACTGCTCTACCGTTATATCAATAAAGCCTTCCCCGGCAAGCTCCGACGGCTGGTGAAGAAACTGCACTGTGGGCACCGGCACTGCTCCCCTGACCCTGCAGGGATACAGCAGGTGATGGCACAGGCGTAGCTAATCCTTCCCTGGTCTTAAGTCCCAGGAGAGGACCTGACCATGAGGAACACTAAAATTCAACTGGACGCATAGCACTTTGTTCCCCAAGCACATGGCGCTTCCATCTCCAGGAGACATGCTGAATCCAGAATAGCACAGGGGGGCATTTCTCTTGACATCTTCTGTCTTTTCCCCTAAAAGGCCAATCTTGGTCTGCAGCTGCATTGCAGAAAGCAGTGGTGCCTTGTGCGAACAGGCTGCTTCTAACTAACCTCCCCACCTACCCCTCAAGGTGTGAGCCTTTCTCCCAGGGACACCATCAAGGTTCATGTCCTCAAACGCAGGCTGACCTTTGGACTCCCTGGTATTTGGGCTTTCTAAATGAAGTGATGAAATCTAAAGCCAGTATTTATACTTCGTATTGACACAATACTTGATTCTCCTCTCTCTCTCTCTCTTTTTTATAAATAAAACCAAGTGTTAGAAAAATGCCTAATATTAAGATGAAAACAGTACAAGGGAACATGGCTGTCACTGATACCAATGTTACAGCTTGAGGACAGGACAGTGTGCCTGTCAGGCCTGAACTGTTGACAATGATAGCTGTGGAGCACTGCACCTCTCCCCAGCCACACACACCTGGCTACCTTTCTAACTGCTGAGAAACGATTTTGGTATTGGCCTGTCTTCTTTCCAGTGCTGCAACATGTGCACATCAATAAATGGAAGAAAGTCTCTCAGTGCAGAACCTGAAGACCTCTCCAGGGGAGAGATCTGGACATGGTAGTGTTAGCCAGGCATGGAAGGGAGAGGCAGGATGGTATGAGGCCAGGTAGGTACCCCAAGATGACCAGGGACTGGCATCTGCGGTAAAGGCCCTGCCTGGCTGGTTTCACACAGCTGTGGGGTGGTACAGGATGAGGCTTGCCTTCTACAGGTGTCTGGGTCCAGACCTCACCCACGTGCCTCTGGGGCCTTGTATTTGGTAATTAACTACTCTAACATGTGGGCATGAAAAGAATTCCTCCCGCCCCCATTCCATCACTGTCACCACCCCATTCTCTAGGGTTACATTGCAAACCCACAACTCCCCGTTCCCCAGTTCTAAAGCTCCCCTCACATGATCATCTAACCTGTCTCTGCAGAAGGTCAGTGTGATCCATACTCAGTGGTCTTCCTCCACAGCCCTAAGGCTGTCCTGGCTGCTTGGGAACTTCAGCTAGGAGTAACTTTAGTTTTTATCTACGCTATGCAAACTACATCTCCTGGGATGGTGACTGCCTGAGTTAATCTGCCTTAAAGAGGATCGGGGAGGGAGGTGCATGAGGTCCTCAACCCTGGCTGTGACCCACTGGGCATGCTCGTTGGGGCACAGTTCCTCATGAATAAACCACAAGGCTGGATTAGACAACAGCCTTCAGGATTGCTTCTGGCTGTAGAGTTTTGTTTTAAGGCTTTTAAAATAACAAGCCTAACTTGCTCTATCCTTGCTTCCAGATGCACAGCCGGATGGAGGCTCTGAGGCTCTAGTGGCTGCCAGGCTTTTCCATCCCAACAGCCACATTGACCACCTTAATGCTTGCTGAGGAAACAGGAACCCTCACCATGAAGGTTCTAGCTGGGCCTAGCCTGCAGACCAATGTAATTCTCCTATGGGTGAGAGCAAGCAAAGCGGCCAAGGTCAGGGCAAGCAAAGGGCAGCCTAAGCTTTGTAGGTCATAGGGGAAACAGGATCCAGCTGGGCGGGGCTGTTTGTGATGTTCCTGTCCCAGTTTAAAGCAGTCATTGCCCTTGTTGACCCTTTTACACCTTTTGCTCCAGGCAGAGGTCCTGGGAGAGGCAGACCCCAGGTCCTGGAATCTTTCACCCCAATCATCTCAAGCATGGTGGGGAGAGGCCCAGATGTTCCTTAGTTACACTTTCTCAGTGGCCAAGTTCTAGGGAACCCTTGAGGGACTGGAAGCCAGGACCCTGTGACTGGCATTAACTATATAGCTGCTTGTTCTGCAGGTTTAGCCCAGTAGATACCCAGCTGTCTGCCTGGGTCTTACTGGGGGAGCCACACATGGCCAGAGGAGTGGCCATCTGCAGAGTAGACCCTTTCCCTGTAGTGACCCCCTGGAGTGATACACCCTCCCACCCAGGACTCTATTCCTACCACCTGCCTCCCCTTGCCCCGGTCTTCCACTACAACTGCCCAAGCACTGCACAGTCACTGGTGCTGACATCTGCTGTCTGTAATTCTGTGCTAAGTTCATCCTGGGAGTTCCCAAGTCTTTTGCCATGCACCTCCCAAAGTAGGAAAAGCCTTAACCACATAGGAGAAGAGGTTACTGCAACAATGTGTGCGAGTGTGTGCTCAAGGGTATGATGCTTTCTTGCATGACTTTAAGATGCCAGGCAGGACACACAGTTCTCCAAGGATTGTTAATTTGGTTGTCAACACTTCTTGATGGTTATAATTTACAATGAATGCTCTTATTTTCATTAACTCACAAGAGAGCCTGCCGTGTCATTACTTAGGGTTCCAGAAAGTGACCTTTTTCTTGGGTTTCCTTCACAATGTTACATGACACGACAGAGGAAACTGGAGCCAATGCTCTTTGGGGCAAATATACCCAGGAACCAAAAAAACGCCTGTTCTGTTAGAGAAAGCAAAGGCTGGACCAGGGAGAAGTTATGGCATTAAACTGCGTGTCTGGCTGGTTCTTGGGAAGAGGGGGGCTTTCTCATTCCTGACCTAGAGATCCACCCACGTGGCTGAATCCATTTGCCAAAATTCTGTGAATGTGAAAAAAGAAACTACTGATGAGATTCACACATCTGAATACTATTAAATTATTTAACATGAGACACCCTGTTTCCGTGTGTGTGTGTGTGTGTGTGTGTGTGTGTGTGTGTGTGTGTGTGTGTTTAAAGGGGGACAGGGGACGGACTGAACACTAGAGCTTTGCACCAGCTAGGTAAGCAACTGCTACTGAGCCACAGTCAGACCCAACATCTGTATTCCTAAAACGCACATTTCTAGGGGTATGTGATGTGTATCAGGAACCAGAAAGCAATAGTCCCTTAGCACTGGTTATTTCTGGTCTGGAGCTGTAGCTCAGCGTCAGAGTGCTTCCCTAGCATTCACAAAGCCCTGGGTTTGGTCTCTAGCACCTGCGTGACCCTAGTGTGGAGATGCACACTTATAATCACATCATTTGGAAGGCCAAAGGACTTCAAGGTCATCCTTGGCTACAGAATGAGTTTGACCCAGCTATAGGAAAAACCATGTCTCAAGATAAAGAAAGTTGCTTCAGGGCAGGAGAGATGGTTCAGTGGGTGTAAGAACACTGGTTGTAAGCCAACTGTGATACCTCACGCCTTGAATCTCAGCACTTGGGAGGCAGAGGCAGGTGGATCTCTTAGTTTGAAGTTAGCCTGTTTTATGGAGTGAGTTCCAGGACAGCCATGGCTACACAGAGAAATCTTGTCTAGGAAAAAACACTAGCTCCTCTTCCTAAGGACCTGGGTTCAGTCCCCTGTACTAACAAGGTGGCTCACAACCACCTATATCTCCAGTTCCAGGAGAGCTAATACCTTCTTCTGGTCTCCATTGGCACACATATACACAAAAGTAAATAACACAAATCTTTCTTTAAAAGGTTGTTTCCACTCATGCTAGAAATCTCAACATTTTTAGTTTACTCTGTAGTTTGTCTATAGCATTACATTAAGCTGATAAACCGACAGTTGCTCAGATGTCACATGCCCTGTGGTTGCCACAGATCAGCAAGCCTTATGGGTGACGGAGGGAACTTGAACCTGTCACTCAGCCAGCCACAGATTAGCAAGGGAAAAGCTACACCCTGCACAGTCCTACTTCTTCCCAAAATGTCACCATCTTTAGGGACAGAATGAGGGTATCCTCATGGCTTAGCAGCTCCCTGAGGCTCCTTGCACATGTGGGAGAGTCTGTCCCAGCAGCAGCTAGCCCTCCTTTGCACACAGTACTAGGTAATAAGTGAACAAGTGACAACCTAGGAATGACGCTTACGAAGCAGACCAGGCACTATCAGTGAAGCGCGCACAGCCTGAGCGTGCGGTGAGCTTGCCTGTTTTTGCTGAATGCACGTGTGAATGTGTATGCACCGGGGCTGTGCTTTTCCCAGTAATCTTACGCTGCAGTCGGCTTCAGCAAAACCAAGAGCTGAGGTCAGGGGAGTCCATATCCGTGGATCTAACTTAACTTGAGGCAAGGTCACTCTCTTTGGAGGATCTTCGTGTCTGGGCAAGGACTGGACTCCTCTAAGAGCAAGTCTCCAGCCTCCTATACTCTTAGATGTATGATTCAGGGACCCTGAGAGATACCCCACTGTGTCCCTCAGGTGATGGGAAAGATTCTTGAATGCCCTCACCAAGTGAGACATCCCCGTGGCTACAAGCCCAGGGGAAGCAGCTTCCAATGCTACGTAGCATGCCCCACACTCTGCAGTAGGGGCAGGACCATGAGAGCACAGGGAACTTCCTAAGGCGGGGATCCAACAGCAGCAGAGGTTACATTATGTCATCACATGTACTTCAGACCTCAAGAGGGAATGAGTGGTAGCTACACTCCCAGATCTAGTCACTGGTTCCTTCTGGGGCACACATTACACTCCTAGGGCTCTTTTCAGATTCTAAGCTGAGCACAATCAGAGCCAAGTCTTGGGGCTTCCTTTCAAATGAGAGCTGGATGAGCCAGGCTCTTGCCACTCAGCTCCCCTAGCCACCCCGCAGTAACAGAGCCAGGGTGCTCCTGGCTGATATGTCAGGCCACGGTTCGGGAAAAGGGAAGGACTTAAAACCTACCGCTGCTGGAAAGTTACACTCACCATGTGTTCTGACCACCCTACTTCCCACTTGCAGTTCTCCCTCCATTTGTGAGCGTGAGTGTATGTGTGTGTGTGTGAGAGAGAGAGAGTGAGCATGTGCAATATGCATGTGTGTGCATACACAACTGTTCGATTATGGGTGCATGTCTGAAGAGGGGTGATCATGCATGTGGAGGTCTGAGGTTGAGGTTGGTAATATCCTTGATTACTCTTCCACCTTATTTATGGAGGCAGGATCTATCTTTTAATCAAGCCCAGAGCTCACTGATATGGCTAGCCTCGCCAGCCAGATTGCTTTGACGATCCGCCTCTGTCTTCGGGGGCTGGGATTATGGGTGGGCCACCATGCCCACCTGGAACTTACATGGGTTCTGGGGATCCAAACACCCAACAGCCTGCCTCCCTGACCCAGGAAAGGAGACAATATCTCTGGGGCCCCAAAGAACTTTCTAGAATGATGGGAACAGTCTCTCAATGGGAGACTGGATTTGTGGCTACTTGCACCTGTCAGAAGCCATCAGCCAGGAATTCAGAGATCTATCAACTGGGTCATGGATGGACTGACCCTCAGTGTCTCCTGAGGCGGGGACAAGGATGGCCTGCCCCATGCCATCACCATCATGGATGACATGAACCTGGGAGATGCATACCGAATGCTGTGAGATGAAAAGTGCTTTTGCTTTCAAGCTATGATTAGAACAGCCTGTCTTAGACTTCGCTGGGTTCATGGTTCCTGTCTGAGACAGGCTTGTTTCCAGAGCTCCACCCAGTGGCCGTCGATGGACTTGCCGTTGGTGGACATCAAGCCTCTGGCTGCACAAGCCAGCAGCAGGAGGCCAGGTAAACTGTTATCAGCTTGCCAAGCCCAAGGCTCTCCCACAATGGCTTTTACCGCAAACAGATAGTGCAGACACCAGCTAAATATCCCCAAGCAATCCCATTGATGTTCACTACCTACACTACAGGATGGAATTACACGAAGAAATGCTGATTTCTAGAGTTTCTCTGCATGAAATTGGGCTCCGACACAACACTTATCCCATGATCCTTAGCAAATGTGGGTTTGGGGATGAGTTGGTCTTTGCCACACCATGGCTAAACTGATGAACATGGGTCTGGGACATAGCATGGCTCCCAGAGGGATGGGGGTTTGTGTCACTTGCCGTTCCTTCCTTCTGCTGTGGAGGGTGCTTGCAGCCAGGGCTGCTCTCTGGCAGCCTTCAAGCTACAATCTCCTGAAGCCCTGAAGGCAGGCCTTTGGAATTCTAGCCAGCAGGGGCGAAGACCCCACATATTCCAGTTAGGTAAGGTATGGCTGTTCTGTAGGTGGCACTGCTAACTACCACGTGGGGCTTCCAGGTCACACACACCTGCTGTGGCAGACCCTGCAGTGGATGGAGAGAACATGGACAAGGTACCACTATCCAGGCTCCAGTGGCTTCTTAGCAGGAGTCTTGTCTTTTGAAACTGGCAGTCTGTCAGGCGTCCCTAGATCCCCATTCACAGTGCCTTCAGGGAAGCCTTAGGGTGCTGGCCTTGCTAAGTGAACCGAGATTATTTAGCTATGGGCTTCCAAGTCCTGTGTATAAGATGCAGGCAACAGGGAGGATAGGGATCTCTTCAGGTCTTGTGGATCCCTGATGCCCTCTTGGTCGGCCACATATAGGTTCAGGTCTGAAACTCCTGTAGACAATAGATAGGACACAGGCTCTCTGCGGCCACAGGAAACTGCCCTGACTAGTACAAAACCAATGTGATGGTTTATATCAACTGGATAGGACCTAGAATCACCTATGGGACAAACTTCACATGTTGGTCAAAGATTTTTCTTGAAGCAGGACCCTCCCTAGATGCTTGCAGTTCCATTCCACAGGCTGGCATTCCAGACAATAAAAAGGAGAAAGCAAACAAAGTATCAATATCCACCTCCCTCTGCTTCTTGACCACAGACACAATGTATCAATATCCACCCCCTCTGCTTCCTCCTGACCATAGAGACAATGTATCAATATCCACCTCCCTCTGTTTCCTGATCACAGACACAATGTGACCAGCAGCTTCTGCTATATGTCTTTGCCTTTCCCACCATGATGGACAGTATCTTCTCAAACCTGGAGCCCCACATCAACCCTCCCTGGCTTAAGCTGCTTCCTGTCAGGTGTTAGGAGACCACAATGAGAAAGAAGATGATACAATCAACACAGCACAGGAGGGGCCGGGCTGCAGCCACAAATGCACACAAACATGCGGCCCCCAGGCAGCTCTCTCTGCATGGCAAGCTGGGGGTGGTGGGAAATAGCCACAAGCGCAGACTCAAGTCAGGACTATGCTTGCCAAGGGCTCAGCACACTTGGCCACACAGCATGGATTCACTCTAAGATTCCTTGTATCTGACTCAGGCTACATGTTGGGTGCAGCCAAGTGTTAGAGCCTCAGCCCACAATTAGGGAAGTGGATAGCAGAAAAATGATGCAGTAACCCCAGGTCCTTTATTTAAGGAGGCAATGGCGAAAGGCGGCGTCCTAGTTAGGGTTACTATTGTGATGAAATGCTATAACCAAAAGCAAGCTAGGAAGGAAATTTGGTTTACATGTATTCCCCATCATACTTCATCACTGAAATTAGTCAAGAAAGGAGCAGGAGCTGATGCAGAAGCCATGGAGAAAAGTTGCTTACTGGCTTGTTCTCCATGACTTACTCCGTCTGCTTTGTTACAGAACTCAAGACCACCATACACACAAAGGTCTGGCCCCTCCCCTTCAATCACTAATTAAAGTAATGCCCTACATGCTTGCTTACAGTCCAATCTTATGGAGGCATTTTCTAAATTGGGGTTCCGTTCTTTCAGATAACTCTAGCCTGCGTCAAAATGACATAAAATTAGCCAGCACAGTGCCGGATGGTGGTGGTGGTGCATGCCTTTAATCCCAGCACTTGGGAGGCAGAGGCAGGTGGACTCTGAATTTTAGGCATGCTCTATCTCTCAGAGAAACCCTGCCTTAAAAAAGAAAAACAAACAAACAAAAAACCCCAAATTCAAAACCAAATAAACAGCAACAACAAAATTACTGAGAACGTGGCTCAGTTGGTAGAGGGCCTGCCTAGCATGCACAAAGCCAGGAGTTCCAACCTCAGCATGGTACACACCTGTAATGCCAGAACTTGGGAGTAGAGGCAGGAATTGAATGTTAGTTATACAGCCAGATGCCAGACTCAAATCTGTCTCAAAATTCCTAGGAAGGGCCTGCAGCTGTCACTACAGAGCCAGCTAGGTGATCACTTGGTATTATATTGGGGACACAACACAATGTCGCCCAGGACAGACCCCAGGCCCAGCCTGCACAGACTCACTGACTGCACCAGGTGAAGACTAGCTCCAGGCAGACAAGACACAGAATAGCTGGTACCCATTAAGTGTGGGTGCTTGGAACAAACAGCCTGTTGAGCAGTGTGTCCCTGTCACTATAGGTGAGGAAAGATGCCAGACAGAGAACTAAGACATCATAGCCAGGGAAGAGATGGAAGCAGAGGTCAGGGGAGCCAAGCCCAGCACAGTGAGGATTCATGGTCCACAACAGAGAAGCACCACCAGATACAGAGCCTGTGCCACCCAGCATGAGCCATGAGGCTGGATCCACACTGGGCTTTCAATCCTTGGTTCCAATTCCAGAGCTGGCACCCTTCTCCTGTTTTTCTGTAGTCCTCACCATAGAACAGGTGTTACATAGGTCACTCTAAACCTGTTCCTCCTGACCCCTGGGCTGCCACATGGGAAGACCAAAGTCACAAGAGTCACTGGCCCTCACCTTAGCCATCATGGAACAGTATGGCCAGATGACCCTCCAGCCTCTGGGACGCATACTGGGTTCCTTCCACAGCCCCCAGATGCCAATACCTGGTAACCATCAAGTTTCCAAACTGCAGAGTCACAGAGTAAATACGGCACTAGAGAAGGGTAAAACTGTGTGTGTGTGTGTGTGTGTGTGTGTGTGTGTGTGTGTGTCTTTGAGCTGCTACCTAAGAGACATGTGTTTGCTGTGTCACTCTACAGACTTTCAAGGAAAAATGCTGGCAGTGCATCCTGGAGGGATGCCACACAGCAGCTCAGATGTATGGGACCCCTGCCCATCCCTATACAAGACCAACATAGCAACAGCCTCTGGGCTCAGAGGGGTTGGGGTGAGCCACCAATTAGCTACAAGATCTGACACCATTCCTACTTGAGCCTGGTGATAGCACCCAGGCTTGCACATGTGCCCCAAATAACTGAACTACATGTCTAAAACATTAGAATTATAACACAAACCTCAACTAAAGCTGTGCTTAAAATGTAAAGATGTGGCAAAGTCTAGAGGATCAGAAAAGTCATCACGGTTGACACAGTATGAAATGACACTGAGTAGCTCTGTCTGCTTTCTGTCCCTGGGCTTTGTCTCTTCTGAAGTGAAACATAAGGTGTGTGGCATTTTGTGTCCTGCTTGTCCCACTGAGTGTGATGTCTCGAGGGCCTCCCATTGCTGTGTGTCAGAACTTTACTCCTCTTCATGCTGAATGGATGATGCCTGGCTGTGCAGACAGACGTGTGTGCCGTTCTGCTTGCTTCCACCATCTGGTTGTGTGAATGGCCTGCTATTGGGGTCTTTGAGAGGAGGGCCATCCTATGAACTACCTCCCCCCAACCACCAGCTCCCCAGCTCCCAGTGCAGTACAGAGGACCTGCAGCTGTTCAGACAGAGAAGCCCAGGGACACCTTGCTGCCCAGACTATTTGTGGTCTGTGGCCAGATGAACATTGTACAAGCGACATCCAAGTGTATCCTTTAATTCCAGATCTCAGAAGGCAGAGACAGGTGTATCTCTGGTAGTTTGAGGCCAGCCTGGTCTACATGGTGAGTTCCAGGCCAGCCAGGGCTACATAGTGAGATCCTATCTCAAAAAACACGATCAACCAAACAAACAAAAAACAAGGTGTATCCTCATAGAGGGAACAAAGAGGAAGGTAGCCACCATGCTCATCACAGGCTCAGTTGGGGAAATGAACATAAATGATGGGAGGGGAAGACTGGGGTAGAGGCAGCTGGAAGGGACTACACTATGGCAGGGGACAGAGGGAAGGAAGCCACATCTACCACTGCCCCTTCCTTCCCTAGGCAGACCTTTCAGTGTCCTTCCCCTCCTTCCCACCCAGAAAAGACTATGCCGTTGGTAGTGGGGGCTCCTGGTGAGGCAGGGCTGTGAGCTGTGCAGGTCAGGAGCACAGCCGCATGAACACACAATCTGGGGACACATCTTCCTGTATTCCCACGGCAGCATAAACATGCAGTCTGGGGCCACATCTTCCTGAATTCTGAATTCCCACCGCGGCATGTGCATGCAATCCAGGGGCCACATCTTCTTGAGTGCTTACAGCAGCATGAGCACGCAGACTGGGGCCATATCTTCCTGAATTTGATTGCCAGGTCAGAGCACAAGTTCAGCCCAGCATTCTGGTGGCTGACAGCCCAGGACCAGGCAATCACAAGCTTAGGCAGGGGTCATAAGCTAAAGAAGTGACTCCTAGGAAGCTGTCATTGAGCTGGGATGGAAGTCTGACTAGGAGGTGGGTCATGGCTGGCGCCCTGTAACACCCATGGGAACCACAGTTCACCCAGCACCACCCAGTGACAACCACTGACTTTCCTTTCACACTTCTGGGGATGTCAGCTCACCCAAAAGTCAACCTGAGCATGGGTGCTATCATCACATCTCACAGGAGGAAAGGTGCCTGCCCCCAAAGAACACACAAAAGCAAATGTACAGAGAGAAGAGCCACAGCAGTTGTCCCACGCCTGTGGGTCAGCACGGGTCAGGCAGGAAGCATCAGGATTGGAGGGCGTGCAGGGCCTTGGTGTAGAGGCTTGGGGGGAGGTGTCTGTGCCCAGAAGCCTGCTCTGCAGTGTCTGTGAGGTTCCAGTGCCTAGGCTGTTAACAGTGAGGCAGGCTAGTCACCACCTCACTTCAGCTCAAGCCGAGTTGCAGAGCCTCTAGTCCCACTGCCTGTCCCCAGGGGCTCCTCTCATTGGGCCCAGAGGTGCTGCCAAGCACCTCTCTGTGACAAGTTGAAGAAGACTGACAACACAGGGTTGTCTTTTCACCAGGGAACAGGGTATATGACAGCTAGAGGGCACAGCAGCAGGCTTCAGAGCAGGTAAACAGAATTTGGGAAGGAGGGGGGTTATCAGCCCAGGATCCCCCCTCATGTCCTGCCTAGTAGCTAGGGGAGGGCTCAGGCACTAGCACTGTGAGGCATAGGAGGCTGGAGAGTGAGCCCACGTGCCTCTGGAGGCCACATCCTCACATGGAAGCCTGGTGTGCAAGGGGCACTGGAAAGGGCCAGTGTTCACTCAGAGACCATTCTCATGAGAGATACATAGGGTTTTACAGAACTGTCAAAGACACAATCAGTGCCATACAGAGAATTGGGGTCAAATACGGAAGTACCAGATATGACCTCAAGACAAAGCAGTGGACAGTGGTAGCCCCACCAGCCTTAGAGTCTATGAGCTGAATAGTACCATACTGAACTCATGACCAGGAAGGGAACACACAAGAGGCTGACGCAGCGGATGTGGGTTGAGAGCTACTTTCACATATCAAGCAGGAAGGGGACAAGGGAGGGTGCAGTGACTGTCCTGGAGGGAGGCCTCCTCGGCCATTAGGGCCTCCTCAGACTTCTCTCCCACTAGAGCCAGATCCTTCCTCCCTGGGGCAGTAGCTGGCATCCAGGGCTGAAAATGCACTAAAGAGGAATCCAGGTGCCCAGTCAATGGCTTTCTAACCCCTCTTCAAGTCAGACAGCAGTGGGCCCCACAGGAACTACCCAGAGGCCCAGGCAACGGCTCTGGGATGGCTCTCCCACAGTTCTCAGGAGGCTGAAGAAAGTACCTGAGACCAGTACCACAGCTTGGGGCTGATGCAACGTAAACAGCCTGTAACGTGAGGTAAGCTGCAAAAGGGTGCATACATCAGGGTGGGAGCGCAGGTAAAGACCACGGCATTCTACGGTTTTAAAGTGTTCCCAATACTGTTTACCTCCATTGGCTGAAGCTCTCCCTTCAGAACTTGGTGGCTCTGCTCAGGACTCCTCCCAGCCAGCATCATGGCATCCTGGGCAAGGCCTGGTGGAGAAGATGCTGGACACCAGCAAGCTGACATGCCTTCTGGCATCAAGGTGCAGCTTTGGCTATTGGTGGGCTGGGTAGTAAGGGGTGCACAGTGTTACCTGCCATCCAGGCTAGAGTGTCCACTGTCCTGAGTCACCCTGTTTCACGGACAGAGTGGCCAGACCCTCATCCATGTGGCAAGGTTCCAGGCGCTGGTTTCCTCTGGTTGGGAGGACTTTCCCTGACTGGGTGGGGCTTCAGCTCTTATTTTAGGTTGTAAATGTCTTTGCCTTCTGGGAGGAACCTTCTGCGAGTGGCCAGCACACTTCTTCAAGAAGGCTCTGGAAACCCTCACCCACATACACGTCACTCCTCCACCTCAGACATAGGTCCATTTGGATTCTTCTAGGTCACATGGTCCAACCATAGCCCGCCTAAACACAGTGTGTGGTTTGGATGACTCCAGGTCGAATCCTGTTTTTCCTTAGGAATTGTGGGCGTCTGTGCCAGCCTGTCTTTGGCAAGTGTGCAGCAATGGAGGGAAAGCTGGATGAACAGACAGCATGCCCCAACCTCACAATAGCCCCCAGCTGCTGACGAAGTCTTGTGTGGACCCCAGGGCCTGGCACAGGTGAGCACTTTTTTTTTATGTCCTGGGGAGGTAGCAGCCCGGCCAACTCAGTTTGTCCTCCTGCCTCTGGCTTACCAGTGAATTCGCCCAGGGGGCTGTTCACAGCTGTGGGAAGTTTGTGAGAATTAATTTCTTTATGGTACAGGTCAGTTCTGTTAAGTAAAAGAAAACTCTAGCCTGTGATATGGCGAACCAGCGTCTTCCTGAAGGAAGGGTTCATGGTGGCTCTGGTCAGCTCCCAGAGAAACAGGGAAAGGTCCGAGGATGGTCAGAAAGCACAGCCCATGTCGGCAGGGCAGTCTGGCTGATCACCACGGGAGGATTTTCATCAAGGGGGTGGGTAGGATGGAGAGAGGCTGGTGTGGCAGAACACAAAGACTGTTCTATAGTGGGCACATCTGGAATGTGTGTTTGCACGGGGCAGGAAACCTGAAAACAGAGAACTCTTTTGGCTTGACTGCAGATAGTGGGGACTGGCAGGGGCTGAGAGGGAGCCTTTGGAAACTGGGCCATCAGGCTTACCACCTCTGCACAAGGTGGGCTTTGTTCTCAGGTGGGTTAGTATGAATCTCTCACACGTGTCCCTGTGAGCCAAGGCAAGGACAGCCACTAGTTGGATGTCTTGCCAAGTGAGTTCAGCTCATTTCTTAGCTAAGACCTCCATTACGACTCTCCCAGCGGTGCTCTGCAGTGCCTCCTTGAGGTGGGTCAGTGGACCCAAGACCACAGCCTTGAAGGTGAACCCTGCAGACACATGGGGACACCGCTGTGGTGTTGATGGCTCACTGGGCCACCAGAGACAAATAAATATCTGCTCCATCTGAAGCAACACGAGGCATGAAGCCTCTGCCCCTCCTAGGGAAGCTGACCAGGTCAAGTGCACCACTGTCCTCCTATCCCCTCTTCTGGGGCTCACCTGCTTGGCTCTGGCTAGCCAGAGGCTTTCCTCTTGCTCACACCTGGCTCAGGCAGGATGCCATCAAGACCTAGAATAAACAGCTGGCCAAAAGAGCCAGGAAGACCTGTAGCTGGAAGAAGGACCAACAGGGAGGTGCCATGGAGGGCAGGCTGCAGAGAGAACCCATCAGTTTTACTCTCAGAAGTCCTTGCCACCGTGGCACCATCCCCTCTTGCTGTCACTGCTGGGGTACCAGATGTGGCAGGGGGCAGGGAAAGGGTCTGATCATGTGTGTCCTGTCCCCACCCCCATCCTGCCACTGCAGTATGAAGGCACCCTCCTCAGTGGCTGTGCACATCCTCACAGAACTGACAGTGACTGAAACAATACTACAGAAAGCCACAAAATACCAAACACCTCTTCTGGTGTCCTCTGAACTAATTCAGCTCCGCCCTCCCTCCAGGCAGCCCAACTCATGAAGGTTCCATCTCTTGCTTGGTAGCTGGGGCAAATCTTGCTTTGGGGGAAACTCTGGATTGCCCACTCTAACCACAGGCATCATGTGGATTTCTACCCAATGGCCCCGAGTTGCTGGTTAAGCTACTGGATCTCAAGACCGCAGAGGGCCTCAGGTGGCACATGGCACCTGGTGACAGGGACGGTCAGCTCCAGTGCCAGGGCCAGTACCACCAGTCCTGAACAGGGATTTAAAAGTGAGCCTGCTCCTCAGCACTCCCCAAGCTCAGCCTTGTGGGAAAGGTGCCACTCACACAGCAATATGTAAGGCAGAGGGTGGCAGACAACCAGCAAATGCAGAAACTTCCCAGAGTCCTGGTCTCACCCTCTCTGGGTCCATCCACTCTCATCTCTGGTCCTCCTGGAGGGGGAAGCTGAGAAAACACACAGGCCTTAAATAGCCCATTTAATATGCTGCCAGGGAAGGAGTGTGCTTGGGTTCCTGGAAAGAAGGTTGAAGGGGATGCTAGGAGACCTACTGCCTCGGTCTGACCTCACGGGAAGGTTCTGCCTTCTAACCCACAGGCCCATGAAGCTCCCACTCTGCAGGAAGCACGGAGCCCATGAAAGGTCAGGCAGCTCTGCCCAGCTGGGCCATTGGCCACTAGACTGGAGTGCCCATCTGGCCCACAGCACATGGGGGCCAGGAGGAGTGCTGAAGCTCCTGGAGGCCAGTGTCTGTGTGTATGTGCACATGTGTACACACAGTTTGTGTTGGGTGTGTGTCCAAGCATCTTCACATGTATGCCTGTTTGTAGAGATGTGCCTGTGCGTGCACACACACCTACATGTCAGGGTGTGTCTGGTATGTGCATAGGCATACATACATTGCATGCATGTTGGCATGTTCATGTGCCTGGTGTGTACGCACACGTACACACATCTACATGAGACAAAAGGCACATGTACCTTATCTGCAAAACTCGAGAAAAGCAAACAGGAAACTGCTCATCCTTACCTTTTTTTTTTTTTTAAAGATTTATTTGTTTATTATGTATATAGCATTCTTTCTGCATATATGCCTTCAGGCCAGAAGAGGGCACCAGATCTCATTATAAATGGTTGTAAGCCACCATGTGGTTGCTGGGAATTGAACTCAGGTCCTCTGGAAGAGCAGCCAGTGCTCTTAACCACTGTGCCATCTCTCCAGCCCTCATCCTTATCTTAATGAAGGTAATTTTCCCAATTCCTAAATAGATGTTTAGAAACAGATAGCCTTGGGAACAATCAAGGACAGACAGACAGACAGACAGGCCTGCACTGTTCACTGTGACAGCCAGTGAGTCTGGTGGCCCCTAGCTGGCCCTACATACCACTGTGATGTCAGTCCAAGCTCCCCTCCAAGGAGCAGAGGGTTGGCTAGGGGCCGGAGTGGGACATCAGGCCATGTGTGTGAAGCAGACACAATGACTCACCAGCGGGTCCGCCCCGGTCTGCAGGGCAGGAGATGGGGATGGAAACATTTACAGAGCCAAGTCCAAGAGGCCCTAGAATGAAGGAGGCGGCGGCGGCAGTTGAAGGGAGAGGGGGAGATAGGGCTGCAGGGTGGATGGAGCACTTTAGGTTGGGCACAGAAACCCATCTCCCAGGGCAGCTCTGGACCCAGCTCCCCAACCCACTGTCCACCTCTGAAATCTCACCTACTGTGTTCACAGGCCTCCCATGCCCTTGGCTGGCAATCTGTGAGGCATTACAGCAAACCTGTGAATCCTCAAAAGACTCACTCTGAGACTGACGGAACTGTGGAGGTAGTGGGGAGCTGGCAAGTCCTTATGTGGCCTGTGGCTCAGCCTAGTATGCCAAAGCCACTTTACCTGCTGTACCACACACCTAAGACCCATGCCACCTGTGGGTCATACAATAGAATCTCACACATTTATGCCATATCTGTGCAGAACTTGCGAGTCCTGCTGCAAAGATCTGCAAGTGTGGCTTGGGAGGGTCTGTGAGAGCATTGTGCCCATGTGGGAAGAGCTTGGGAAGCGCTCTCATGGCCTTTGGGAAATGCCCTAGGCTGTGCCCACCCTGCTTTCCCCATCTAAGCAGTGCCGGGTGGGGGGGCCACACTAACAGGAACCATTCGGAAGGGCTATTTACAGAGTGGTGGCCAAGAGCCATTGCAGGAACACAGCATTCTCAGACACTAGCCTTGGGGAGCTCCCAAGGGACACAGGGCTGACCTTGGCAGCCCTTCTGCAGAGCTCCCAAGGCCCCAGGTTCTCAGACTGAAATGCGTTCATGGAGTGTCTGTCCCTCTTCTGTGGCATTCTGGATTCTCTAAGAAGCTAGGTTGGGCTGTGGTAGGAATCTAGGATGGCGCTGCTACCCTGGAAGACTGGCGGCCTCAACTGACCCTAGAGCTAGCTATGTTGCTATCAGATATGTGCCCAGAAAAAAAGAAAGTGTTTGTACTGGAGGGCTGAGAGCAGCTGTGGAAGAGCGGCTGTCTAACACTGTTCGGACTTCTTAGTGACAGGAAGGAACTACTAGCGGGCAGGCAGTGACAACCAGGACACACAGTGCCAGAGAGACAGGCCCTTTATATGTACAAGGAAGCGAGACCCAAAGGTACCACAAAGACCTACCATGTGCTAATCTGGGAACGTCGAAGTTGCAGGAGATAAAGCAGACAAATGGCTGCTGGGGCTGAGGGCCAACGGCAGTCAGTGAGGGAGCTGTGTCAAAGGGCTGTGACCAGATCCAAGGTGGTGCTTGCCAAGAAGTGTGTGTCATTTCTACGGATTCTTTAAAATGATCTTGAGAAGAGGCTCAAGCTTCCAGCAACACTAGGCTCAGATCTCGTCCCCCAGGCTGACCCAGGCAAATAGAGGCAGGACAAGGCTGTCCTACCACACATATGAACTGAGGTTCAAGTGCATTATCAGACACAAGCACTGCAGAGTACCCACTAGTGTGCAGCATTACCCGATGAGAGATCACTGGCAGCGAAGCTCAGGCTGGCTTCCCTGTGTAGCCCCGCTGCCTCTCTCACGCTCTTTCCAACCAGCTTGGGGTTGACTGCGGAGGAAGGGGAGTTGAGGAACTCCCGAGAAGCCCCGGACAAAGTGCTAGGAGAGGGGGCAGAAGGCTGGGTGGCGAAGGGTGTTTTGTGGAAGGTTTGACAGCAGAGGGCTTCAGTGGCCATGTCAGGTAGGATATGTTGGTAAAGGCACCAGGTGGTCCCATGGATAGACAAGGTGCTCACTCAGTCTGGAAGCATGTGACCCTGGGCTCCCAGGAAGGGATAGACCCTCCTTACCTTAAAAAAGTCAGGGCTGCAGATGGTAGCAGGGCATTAAGATGTGCCAGGGGGTGTTGTGCACAGGGAAGTCATGCTGCATGAAGTAAAAGTCTCTTGGCTGGCCTCTGCATGACAGAACTGGGGAGGGAGACAAGCTCACCTAGTCTGCACTGGTTTCCATCCCCCCAACTCAAGATTTATTTATTTATTTATTTATCTATTTATTTATTTATTGTGTGTGCAGTGCCTTACATTTATTTATTTATTTATTTATTTATTTATTGTGTGTGCAGTGCTCTGCATTTATTTATTTATTTATTGTGTGTGCAGTGCTCTGCTTGTATGTATCCCTCTCTGCAAGCCAGAAAGGGGCACAGATCTCATAATGGATGACTGTGAGCCACCATGTGGTTGCTGGGAATTGAACTCAGGACCTCTGGAGAGCAGCCAGTGCTCTTAACCTCTGAGTCATCTCTCCAGCCCTCCACCCACTCTCAAGAGACAAAAGCACAGGATGGCACTTCTGTGAAACCCTCAACTTGAGCAAGGTCAGGTACAGGAATCCACCCCCAGGCGTGGCTGAACCAGTGTCTCCTCTCAGGAACCCATCCCTTTCTCTCACATTCCCAGCTGGTTTCCAGTACAGCTAGAATGCTGAGACCCAAGAACTGAGGTGATGGAGCCCTGGCTAAAGCATTTGGGACCTGAATGAGGTCCCTCCAGTGGCAGCCTGCAGGCTCCTTCCTATGGATGAAAGCACACAGTCTCACAGGAGCAAGGGCAGATAGTGTCCTGGTCCCCTGCCTGAAAACCAGAGGCAGGCCATAGCCAGATAGAGGTAGAGCTTACTGCTGCCAGCCACAGGGGCCCTTGGTGATGGATGGCCGCAGACACACACTGTAGCACACTGCACACACGAGGCATGGAGTAGCTGCAGATACATCAGATGTCTGCTCAGCAGCTCTGCTTCCTGACCGTGGTCAGAGATCACAAGACAACTTCCCATTCCACCTGACAAGACAGACTTCAAATTGCTTCCTCCCGAGCTGGCCATGACTCTTCATTTCCACACCGCTGGCTCCATAAGCACTGGCAGCTGGAAGCCATCACAACCACTGCTGTGTCTTTTCAGACTGAAAGAGATAGATAGGATGAGGAGAGTCCATAGGCCCATGGGGAGTAGCAAAGGCTGGTCAGCGGCGGCACTGTAAACATCCCAACACATCTCAGACTCATCAAAGTCAAGTCCAGTGTGGCGTCACAGGGCCAAGAATGGCCACCTTGCTGCTGCTCGGGATACCCAGGTCTGAAGGGTGATGGGGTGATCAGGATGGCAGCACTCAGTGCATGTGCTGACGACTGGGACGGGACCCATAAGTCCAGACAGAATCCCAGAGGCTTGAGGACAGACAGAGGCTGGCCTCAACTCCTGAGTCTATAATAGCGTACATGGTGAAATGCTCAAAATTAGTTTTAAAAAAAACATTTACAGGGGCTGAAGAGATGGCTTGGTGGTTTAAGAGCACTGGCTGCTCTTCTAGAGGACCTTGGTTCAATTCCCAGCACTCACATGGTGGCTCATAATCGTTTGTAACTTCAGTCCCAGGGGATCCGACATCCTCTTCTGACCCCAGTGGGCACCAAGCCCACACACAGTACACAAATATGCATGCAGGCAAAACAATCATACACATAAAATGAAAATAACAATAATTCAAAAACTTCCTTAAAATTTTTATTTATTTATCTATTAAATATACAAGGTTTTGCTTGCAGGCCAGAAGAGGGCACCAGATCTCATTACAGATGGTTGTGAGCCACCATGTGGTTGCTGGGAACTGAACTCAGGACCTCTTGGAAGACCACCAGCTAGGCCTCTTAACCACCGAGCCATCTCTCCAGCCCCCAATTCAAAAACTTTAACAATAAAAAATTATAAAAACAAAGAACTTGGGGCCGGTTCAGTGGTTGGCAATGCTTGCTGCTTTTCCAGAGGACCTGAATGACCCTAGTTCCAAGGGATCAATGCCATCCCGCCATCCCCCCATTCTGGTCTCCTCAGGCACCTGCACTCATGCATGCATGGGCACACACACACACACACACACACACACACACACACGCACGCACACCAGACATGTGGTCCATCTTCAGAGCAAACAAAATCTGGCTTTGGAACTAGGCCAGCCTTCAGGAATCCTATTAAAATTACGGCTCCAGTTTTATCACCCTCAATTTCCTTTAAGTAAACAGCAGTACTATTTCCTAGCCTCCACTAGTATTTAGTTACATTTTAAAGGCAGGAGGGGGCCATTTGTATGGAAACAAAATTATTTCATTTACCAGCGATGGGCCGGCAAAGGCTGGGTTTGTCAGTGTCCTTATTTAAAGCCCAGCCAAGGAATTTACAGCTACTGAGTGATTTCTGGCCAATAGGGCAGGAGGCCTCACCATCCCAGGGAGCTCTCACAACATCCCAGCCCCTATAACATGGCACCCCAGTTCCTAGAAAAAAAGTCCCTACAAAGGTCAAAACTAGCCAGAATCTTCTAGAATGTTGCAGAGTCTCAAATGCAAAGCCATGCCTGTCCCCAGCAATGGCAAGTGCTGGTGACTCAGTGCTACGGTCCCTAAAGCCTGTTCTCAGGAAATAGCCAACTGAACCCTTCATGGGAGACAGGCCACTGCCAAGAGCCATGCTCAAAGGCCATTGTTAGCTGCTGAGCAACAGGGGGGTCCTTGTGTGGGTCAGCAGTGAGGGTGCCTGGGGCTTCTCTTGATTCATCCCGTACCTTTTAGCACCAGGCTCATTGGAGACTCTGAACCTGAGTCCTTTGCTCTTGACACCAAGACTGGGCCCTGACATCCTTCTCCGTTCAGAGGCTGGCACTGGGCACCCCCTAGAAGCACAGGTGTCCCTCACTGGATCAGCAACATGGCCACACGGCATGTGCTTCTGTTGCAGGTCTGACAGCTCTCCTGAAGATGGACCGTCACAACATGTCCTGGATCCGCTACCCTAGCCATGTGTCCCCAGATGTGGAGGATGTCATTGCAGCACAGAGCATCATTTCTAGGTGCATGCATGTGTATGTAGCACTGTGTGTCCCATTGAGCCTAGTGACGGGGCTCTTCAATCTGAGCGTGTTCATCCGAGACCGCACTAGGCTGAAGGTGCTGGACAGGCTCCTTGCAGGCCTCACAGTCACTAGCATCTTGGTGACTCTACTGTCCCTCAATGCTGCTGGCCGGCCTGACTACATGTCCACGACAAACCTGGGCTGTGCGGCACTCTCATTCTTCTCCAACATCTGCTACTTTACTGCCCAGTACCTGCAGGTGGCCATGCTTGTCCCATCTTTTCTGCCAGTCTCCTCGGGCTACCAGCTCTTGATGAGGCCTGTGGCAAGCCTAGCTGCCATAGGGGGCTGTGCTGTGTGTAGCTCGCTGATCGTGGTGTCCATGCTGGGCACATCTGGGGCATTGCATGCAACCACCATGTGCCAGGTGGATCCACTGGCTGCATGGCCCGAATACGAGATTGTCAAGTTCAGCCTGGGCTTCGCACTTGCCTTGAGCTTCCAGATGGTTCTCTTCCTCCTGCACGCTACACAACCAGCCTGCCGGGCGGCTCCTGATACGACAGACTCTGACACAGACTCAGACTCTGAGCGCTGGGTGGTACTGGCCATAGCTCTCAACATGTTTGCCTGTAGACTCTTCTTCAATGCGGTCCTCCTGCATCGGGCCCAGCTGAAGCTTCGGCAGGATGTGGGCTCCCCCAGGGATGAGCTGCTCATGAACCTCGCTGAGCTGGCCCTGTCTGGAGAGAGTTGCATCAACTTGGTGGCCACTCTCCTCCTCCACACACCGTGTAGGATCAGGTTGCTGGGCCTCCTTGGGCGCCTCACACAGAGATGCAGACGTGGGACGGACAATAGCATGCCCTTGAGTAGAGTAGGGGGCGAGACAGGGCCTGCCTGCTGACACAAGCCACAACCCTTCCTGGTGTTCAGGGAAGTGACTTTCCTGGGAGCTTGGGCAGGGTTCGTGTGTTCTGTCTGAATGGTGCTTAATGAACACAAGTTTGCCTGCGTTCACCTCAACTTATGCAAATCAAGACAGTTTCTCTTCCCACCTTGAGGAACATTCAGGTCAAGGACAAAATGGCATGGGTACAGAGGCTGACCAGAGACCACGGGTCTGGTCTGCTGGAGGGTGTCCTGACTATAATGGCCACGTGTGACTACCTTGCCTGCTAGTGGCCATCCTCCATTCCATAGCCCAGTCCAACGACACAGGAAGGGCATCATGTAAATAAACACAGCACTCATGTAACATTTTTCTTTCTTTTTTTTTTTTTTAATTATTTTTATCTTATGTGCATTGGCATTTTGCTTGCATGTATCTCTATATGAGAGTTTTAGATCCCCTGTCACTGGAGTAACAGACAGTTGTGACCTGCCATGTGGGTGCAGGGAATTGAACCAGGGTCTTCTGGAAGAGCAGCCAGTGGTCTTAACCACTGAGCCATCTCTCCAGCCCCGCTTTTTTGTTTCTTGAGACAGGATCTCACTCCATACAGCCTAGGCTAGCCTTGACTCCTGACCCTCCTGCCTCGGGCTCCTGAGTGCAGGGACTACAGCTGTGTCGCCATTCCTGAGTACATCCACATCGAGTACTTATTTACTCGATGGCCACATTACATTCTGCTTCTATGTAGCTGTTGCCATAGCTTTCAACCGCCAGAGAATCTGGGCAACAGAATTTTTTAAAAAAAAAAAAAAAAAAAAAAAAAAAAAAAACAGAAAACCAACTCCTTTAGGTTTGCCTTTTTAAAAAAAAATCTGTGAAAACTGGGGCTAGAGAGATGGCCCAGCAGTCAAGAATGCAGTGTTCTTGCAGAGGACCTGTGTCAGTTCCCAGGAGCCACACCCGGTGGCTCACAGGAGCCTGTCCTCCAACTCCAGGGGGCTCCAATGCTATCCTCCTTGGGCACCTGCAATCATATGCACATACCCGCCCCTGCTCTCCACCCCACAACTTAAAAGAATACAAATAAATCTTTTAAAAATCCATCACCATCACTGGAGTGTTGAGAATATCACTCATAAGTGGAAGGTCACTGATACAGCTGGTTTCCATCCAGTGACAATGGTGTCACTCAGGACTGTACTAAAACACTGAGATCTGGCAGGTACCCAGGTAGCTGCTGAGAGCTCCAGCATATCCAATGTTGGAATCTTGGTCACCAGTGTGGTTTCCTTAGGGATCGTTAAGAGGGGAGGCCCAGTGGGCAAAGATCGTAGGCCCCTCCCTGGCCTCTTTCTGCCTTCCTGTCTCAACATGTGATCTCTATGTCCAGTGTGCTCTTACCACCAGCTCCTAACAGGATCCCACCCATTCCCACCATAATCCCATCCACCCCTACCATGATCCCATCAGCTCCTTCCATGATCCCATCCATTCCCACCATGACCCCACCCATTCACACCATAATCCCATCTACCCCCACCATGATCCCATCAGCTCTCACCACTCCAGCCATAACTTCCATCTGCCCCTACCAGAATTCCATCCACTATGGTAGAAAACAGGAAGGGTTTCGCAGGGACTAAACTGCAGGGTTATCTAACCTTGGATTTCTAACCTCTGAAACTGAGCTACAAAACCACCCTACTTTATGAAGTACCCAGTCTTAGCTATGCTGTCACAGCAAAGAAAAACTGACTAAACATCCACATTCCAAGACATCTCTGTCCTCTGGCTGGGGAGGACACTAACTAGCCCTCTGGCAGCTCTGGGATTGGCTCAGCACACACCAGCCATCAGCTGCCCCTGGACCAGCCTTGTACACCCTCACTCCACTTACATTCAATGTAGCCAGAGTTGAGCTGACTACCATGCAGGTTCTGGGGTGCTTTCTCCATGTGGCACCCTATTCTCCAAGTACCATATCCCAGCAATACCGACTCACTCACCTTCCAGAAACCTGGTCTCTGTCCCCTCCACTGACCTAGCCTGTCCTGCTCATCTCAGAGCTCCTTTCTGTGCTGCGGGCCAGAGGATGCCTCAGGCGGAAGCTGGTAAGTGCAAGAGTATTGCCCTGTCAGGACTGAATTCTGCACAGCGGGTCCTCCTGGGATCGCATAGTCATCTACTACTTTTGGCTGTCTGTAGTGCTTCATGGTCAGTTCCTTCATGTTCACATCATGGCAGATGTAGAAGCCGCTAAGTTAATTTATAAATACCTGCCGTGATGGATGCCCACAGCACATGGCTCAGAAGAAAAGAGGTGGCAAAACAAAAGCAAAACCCTCTGTGTACTCAGGCTACTGGGAGCAGTGGGTCTCAGGACAGGAGCAAGGAACAGGACAAGCTGCAGCTCTCAATTCTCTGAGCTCCTGAGCATTCCAGGCAGGGAGTATATTTAAAAACCTGACCATAAAGTCTGAAATTGCATTGGTGCCTCTCAAGTAGAAGCCGTAGTGTGTAGACCAGGAGACAACTTCAATGTCATTTCTCAGGAACTATTCCCCTTTTTTTTTTTTTTTTTTTTTTTTAAGATTTGCTTAGCTTTATTTTCTGCATAGGGGTGTTTTGCCTGCATGAGTGGCTGTGCATCGTATGTGTGCAGTACCTGAGGAGGCCAGAAGAGGGAGCAGGCTCCTCAGAACCACAGATAGTTGTGAGTGGCCATGTGGGTGCTGGGGATTGAACCTGGGTTATCTGAAAGAGCACCAGTGTTCTTAACCTCTCTGATCCATCTCTCCATCCCATTCCCCCTTGAAATTAGCCTATTAGGCTAGACTGGCTGCCCTGTGAGCCCTAGGGACCCATTGTCTGTGCCACCTCAGCACCTAGACTACAATTACAGGTCACCACACCCGACTTTAAAAAGTTCCAGGGGCGGGGGCTGGAGAGATGGCTCAGAGGTTAAGAGCACTGGCTGCTCTTCCAGAGGTCCTGAGTTCAATTCCCAACAACCACATGGTGGCTCGCAACCATATGTAATGAGATCTTGTGCCCTCTTCTGGCTTGCAGGGATACATGCAGACTGAAAACGGTGTACATAATAAATAAATAAATCTTAAAAAAAAAAAAAAAGTTCCAGGAGAACCAAGCCACCTCCTTCTGGCTGCAATGCAAGCAGCTATGCAAGCAAGAAATACACCCAGTCGCACCTGATTTTTGTGCATGGGTTCTAGGGATCAAACTCAGGTTTTCCTAGAAAGTATTTTACTGTATTCTCTCTCCAAACCTGGACCTTTGTATTTTAAAAAGGCAGGCTTACCACTGTGAGCACCACCACTCACAGGCTCAGCTAAAAGGATCATGACTCCAAGACCAGCCTGGGCTACATATGAAGACCCTGTCTTAAATACAAAACAAACCACAGCAACAAGAACGACATAAGTGGAGCAGAAGGGGGCAAAAAATTAAAAACACTGAGATCTGATTAGGGGAGGGGTTCCAGTGATTAGGGGAGGGGCTCCATTGCTGTAGCAGCAAGAAGCCACAGGCTCTGCACCAGGGCCCTGTGGGGAAGATACTGAGCCAAAGTCCCCCTAGCAGGCCCTAGATTTAGGGCCTAGAGTTAAGCCCACTGGGTTTTGCCTCTGTCTCTTGACATGGCCGTATATCCATTACATCATAACTTTCTGATAATTTCTAAGAGCAAGGAAAGGTCTTTCTACCTGAGAAGCCAAGAGGACCATCTAGAGCAAAAGAGAGCCAAGGGGACCCCTCAGAATGCAGCTCTGGATGCTCTGATCCAGGGCAAGGACGCAGGAAACCTCCATGTTGAAAAGGAATCTTGGAACTGATCATGGGGTGTGGAGAGCCCTAGGGTCCAGGCCTCCCTTGGCTAAAAAAGGGCTTATGTGTGTTAACAAGGACCCATCTCCACCACTCCTTTCAGAGCCTCGCTCCACTATCACTCCCCAGGGTCAGTGGTCTCTCTGAATAGCACTCAGGACTCCCTCCACCCCCATCTGCACTCGGAGCTGTGCACATTCACTTCTGGTTGTCAACACTCTCCAGGAATCAAAGGAAGCAAACAGAATGCTCCCAGCAACCAAGGAAGGGGCCCAGCTGTCAACACTGTGAAGCTACTGATCAGCTCCCTACAGGCACAAGGCTGTGTGTTCTGAGTGCTGGGGTGGGGGTTAGGTAGCAGCTGCAGGGCAGGGATATGACATTCTCCTGGGGCTGTAAATTCTTTCCCACATTGGAAGATAAGGCTACTGAACTGGCTTTTTCTGGGAACAGCCCCAGATCGACCTAGACGGCACCTGCAGTGTGCACATGGGATGCCTATCTGTAGGAGGCCTCCTGAACCTCACAGGACCAGGTGCTCGCTTCCACAAGAAGAGGGAAGGCTCAGGAGTTGGGGAGAGTGAGTCACAGCCCTGCACTGACCCTGACAAAACAGCCTCGGCAGGCTGGAGTGGGCAGACAGGGCACCTGTCTCCTGTGCCCGACCTCTCCAGCTCTGGTTCTTCCTTTATGAAGAAGATGCCAGCCTCTCGACCTACTGAACACTTACATATTTAAGTTGAGTATTAACTGTCATGAAGCGCTTGTGCTGCAGAGTTAGAAGCCAGTGACATCTCCAGGCAGGGGCTGGGCTCCCTGCCTCCCCTGAGTCTGGACCTTTAGAGAAAATGCACATATTGGGTCTGGGGAGATGTTGGTAAAGACGCATGAGAACCTGACTTCAGGCCCCTAACATCTATATAGGATGGTGGTGGCGCATGCCTTTAATCCCAGCACTTGGGATGCAAAGGAAGGCGAATCCCTGAATTTGAAGCCAGCCTGATCTGCAGAGCGAGTTCCAGGATAGTGGGCTACACAGAGAACCCCCCCACCCCCCCCACCCCCCGTCTTGAAGCAAGCAAATAACAAAAAGTCATGTGCAGCATCAGGTAAGTATAATCCCCATGCTGGGAATGGATACTGGAGGATCCCTGTAACTCACTGGCTGG